ATGAAGTGAGACGATATCGAAGAGGAGAATCTCAAGGAACAGTGGTTGCAGGTGGCAATGGAAGTGGAAATCGTCTCGATCAACTCTCTCGCCCCACATACGTATTCGTCGATCGAGATCATTCAGTGTATGTATCTGAATGGGGAAATCATCGTGTGATGAAATGGATGGAAGGTGCAAAACAAGGCATTGTCGTGGCTGGTGGTCAAGGACAAGGAAATGATCTTACACAATTGTCATCTCCTCAAGGAGTCGTTGTCGATCAATTGGGCACTGTCTATGTGGCTGATTGGGGGAATAATCGAATCATGCGTTGGCCTAAAGGAGCCACACAAGGAAGTGTCATTGTTGGTGGAAACGGTAGTGGAGAACAATCGAACCAACTCAATTGGCCCATCGGTTTGTCATTCGATCGACATGGGAATCTCTATGTCGTCGATTGGGGAAATCGTCGAGTACAAAAATTCACTATTGATTTCAATGCACATGATGAGTTCAGAATTGATCTTGATGCAACGTGATTTTTTTCCTAGAGTAATTATTTGTGTAATGAAATTCCTTTCGATGAAAGAACAAATTATCTGGTTTCCTTGTCTGTTTTCATCATATGAGATCTCGAACAAGATGAAGTTTTTGCATTCAAAGTCATTGACACAGTGTTGATGATGATTCTCTTCGTAGGTTCGATCAGTGTATTTCCAATTTTCGAAGATGTTATCAACCATCATATCCTGTTCCCAGTGCGATGCGCAACAGAAAAACAAATGGTTGTGAACACTTGTGAACATTTAATTGTAGAAATGCTTCAAAGCCAAAAGAATTGATCGCTCGAAAAATGATACGAAAATTTCAATGCTCAATCCTTTACTACCGTACATTGTTTGAACGATATGGGTATGTAACGGATGAAGGTTATGGAGTTTTGAAAAAGTAGAATTCTTTATTTCCTATCTTCATTACTCCTCCTGTTTTCGATCACACTATTGTTCAAATTATATGAAACAGTGGCATTCGAAAAGACCTTGCTCTTTTTAACTATTTCATAGATTTTTAATCTACTAGCACGATACTGACTAAGTATTCCAGTTCGATTTCATGGAAAACAATATAGAAAGTACAAACATTGGCAAGGGGTCAATTCTAATATACAAATGACGTTGAGACGGCTAAATTTGAATTTAGATCTTCTCTTTCGAAAGGTATTTTCAATTGTTCACTCAACTATCACGTCGTATGAATGAAGTTCGAATGAGAAGTTTTGTTTTGACGACGACCAAAACTTGAATATTTTTCGTATCGTTGAATGACGAGAGAATTCTATTAAGAATGTTCATGCTCAAATGATTTCTCTACCTTTCATTTATCATTCTAGAAAAAGGTTATTTTTGGTTTCATATTTTTGATTCAACGAAAGCAATCAAAATTGTGCAAATCTTCAAATTCGGTTAAATCGATAGTGAATTGATAAACAACACGTTCTATTGTCAATATGAACATTTATAATCACCATGAAAGTCTACAGAATGATTTGACTCACTCTCTGAAAGATATGCAATTAACAACAACTGTATGATATGGAGAACAATAGCTGACAGTTCGAAAATCAAAATGTACATTTGAAAGAGACATCTTCGAAAGTGTTCATCAACTTCATTGTGCAGAAACTGAACAAAAGTTTTGTTAAAAAGAAGTAACGTACATCAAGAATCAATGTGAGTATTTAAGTACATATTTGTCAGAGATTGACTAGATCTTAAATACATACTTTTCAAAGATAGTAATATTGACTGAAATTAGATCACTTATTGATAAACTTCCATATATTGATGGCTGTTGTTGACATAGTCAAAAAAGTACAAACAAATTCGGAGGTGTCCTACCTTTTTAGTCCGTAACTCTTTGAAATCTAAGTTAATTGATAAATCTGACAGTTTTATTTTGATTGAACTTGAAATAGTTCATGCGAATATACAGGGTGGCGCAAAAGTCGGTTTACCGAAAAAAATTGAATATTTCCATTAGAACTTCTATTAAACGAGCTGATTTTTTTATCAATGATAGAGGTGTGTTCAAAGTTTATATCCATAAAGAAATGCTTAGAGAGACCCTTTATTAAGTACTACTATTGACCTCAAGAAAAAAATTTTACTTTTTCACAGGTAGGAAAAAACCAATATATGATAAAGAAAAGACAGTTTTTCAAGACAAATGTAAATTATCAATCATGTTTCTTTTGTTTATTATCAAGTACGTCTTACGGTTATTTATTGAGAAGAAAAGAAAAGAACATCAGAATACCTAATCAATATTTTTGTTTATATTCTTCAAAACAAAAAGGAACAATTCTTTAGCGTAAATGTTCAAATTGTTTTCCTTCGGCGTTAATATACATTTGACAACGATCAGCTACAGATCGACAGATTGTTTGGCATAGTTCAATATTATCATTGAGAGATGTAAATTCTTGTTTGATTAATGACTTCATATGATTTACATCACGAGGGCTTTGAGCATATACACGATCTTTCATAATCCCCCCACAATGAGAAATCGCATGGAGTTAAATCTGGAGATCATGGTGGCCATTCAACGGTTCCTCGACGACCAATCCAATCTACAAATATATCATCTAAATAATCTCGCACAATTTGACCATAATGAGATGGCGCACCGTGTTGCTGCCAGATCATTGTTTGAAAAGCTGAATGTTCTTCAAGTTGTGGTATGATATGGTCCTTCAACATCTGAAGTTAGATTTGTGATGTAACATTACCTTCAAAAATAATGGTCCAACAACACAATTTGACCATATTCCTCCCCAAACAATCGCTTGCGGTACATTGAGCTCTTGTTCGATGATAAAATGTGGATTCGTATCACTCCAATAAACACAATTATGTCTGTTGACACGACCATTTCTTTGAAATGTGGCTTCATCCGTCCAAAGGATGCGATCTAATAGAGTCGGATCTTCTTGAGTTGAATTTAAAATCCATT